CTGCTTTAATTACTGTCCAGCTTCAGTTTTCTTGTACAGACCACAGTTACATTACTTGGTCTCTCTGAGCTTCAGTAACCTCAGCTGTAAAATGGAAGTAACAGCTATCTCACTGAGCTGTTGTGGGGATGAGGTTATACAACATGCACAAAGAATCTGTTTATATGATAGACACATATACAGACATTCAAGAAATGGTTATTTTCATTTGCCTTCATATTCTTTATTTGAGCTTTATATTATACTATCAAACAGCAAACGATATTCCAAATCAGAGGATCCATGCTCTGACGTGGAGTCTGCTAGGAAGTTGGTCATCCCAGGCTCTCTGCCATAATCAAAACTCTACAACTTGACACAGATGGATGAGCAGCCTTGAGATGTATGCAGCTCCCCTGATGCAGGGACAGAATCCCAGGGATGTTAAGAACTTGCAGCAACAGTTTGTTACTATTTTTTAAGGCAGTTGATATTAATTACCATGTATTGTCACAAGCTAGGCAATGTGTTACTGATTTATATTTATTCTATTTACTTCTCACAACAACAGTTAAAAAAAACAGGCAGATGTGACTACGACCATGAGGCAGGACGAGATGACTGGATGGCACCACCGACCCAATGGACATGAGTTTGATTAAACTCCAGGTGACAGTGAAGGACAGGGAAACCTGGACGGCTGCAGTGCATGGAGCTGAGACGAGTCTGACACAACTCAGCGACTGAACAACAATGAGGCAGGTTATCAGAAGAACACAGAGTAAGGGAATTTCCTGGCGGCCCAGTGGTTAGGACTCCACACTTCCAATGCAAGGGGCACAGGTTTGATCACTGGTTGGGAGCTCAGATCCAGCATGTTACGCGGTGTGTCCAAAAAAAAAAGAGTTAAGAATATAGATTAAACAAGGGCTTCGCAAGTAGCACTAGTGGTAAAGAACCCGCCTGTCAATGCAGGAGACAAAAGAGAGGTGGGTTTGCGCCCTGAGTCAGGAAGATCCCCTGGAGAGGGGCATGGCAACCCACTCCAGTATTCTTGCCTAGAGAATCCCACGGACAGAGGAGCCTGGACAGCTCCAGCCCATGGGTCAAAGAGTCAGACACAATTGAAGCGAATGAGCATGCATGCACAGATTAAACAAAGATGATCACAACACACAATTCTGGTTTGTGACAAATGAAAGATAAGTTTGAAAGGCTCTGTACTAAAGATTCTACCTCTAATAAATGTCAGCCAAGGCCATCCTAATTCACTGTTTTGGAACTCCTACAGGATATTTTAAGAATTTATTTCCAGTCTGTTTTCTAAAAATCTGTGGCCACGTATTTTAATTTTACCTGGTAAGATAAAAGAAAAACATTCTGTGGCAGTTAGAGCCCATGGCTCTGGAATGATCTGGAACAAGTAATGTTAACCCCTCCACCTCAGTTTCCTCATCTCTGAACTGAGAATAATAATAATCTACCTGCTCTTAGTGTCGTTCTAAGGATGAAGTTAGCTGATACATGTAAAGCACTTGGAACATTTGTCTGCCGGAAGAGCTCAATAAAAATAGGCTATTCTTATATTCTCAATCATGGTATATACATACAATCCATTTACTTCTCCATTTCCTCTTCAGTGAAACTGGTTCGATGAAAACATTTTAGAGGTTGGTTAAGAAATAATAAAAGTATATACAGGACACTTGGTTACATAGAGCCAGAGGACCAAAAGGGCTCAAATGAAAAAAGTAACCAAGTTTAGCTGAAGAAATACACTGTGGATGAGAATGTATCAATAAAATGGTACAACCACATTAGAAAATTGGTTGGCAACATCTACTACAGCTGAACAAAGGCTCACCCCTAGAATATCTGGAATTCTAGGTATTCAACCAACAGAAATGCCCATGAAAAGTCATGCACTAAAATCTTCATGCCAGTGCTATTCTTCATAGCAAACAACTGGAAACTGGGACGCCCATCAGCAGTACTGGGTGCAGTCACAGGCTAGGATACTCCACGGTACAGAGTGACCAAGTACAACAAACTACACACCACAGGAAGGCGAGTCTCACCAATGTACGCAAAGGGAAAAGCAACCAAATGCCAGAGTATGCACAGTATGATCTCAGCTACAAAAGCAAGAGGAAAGGCTGGACTCGGTGCCAAGATGCAATGCCCAGGTTCCCCAGGGGAAGCAGGGTTGCCTCCCCACTTTGAGGAGTGCTGCCAGCACATAGCCAGCAGGCCGTCAGCCCTCTTTAGAAACTGCCCCCGCAGAAAGCAGCAGCAGCGGTCAAAGGCAGGCCCCCTCCCTGGGCAGCCAACCCAGCGGTTTAACACAGCGGTCAACACAGAGGTTTAAGTGACTATTTTTTGTGCAACTGAAAGCATCTTTGAAGGGCCTTTCCAGAAGCCCACACAGGATCAGCTCAGGCTTCCACTAAGACCGAACTGCAGCTCAGCTTCTCCTCCAGCCCAACTCTGCTCGCTGCCTTTCTCCTTCTTCCACAAGTGCTGCTTCCAAGAGCTCTCCCTCACACCCCTCCAGAATGCTCATCTCGGTCTGCTTCCCAGAGTTTCCAACCAGCTCATCGCATCTACGCTGTGAGAAGCGAGGACGGTGATGACTACTGCGGGGAGGACGTGGTGGATAGGAGAGGGCAGGATGCAGATCGGCAAGGGTGCTGGTAACAGTCTCTTCACCTGTCTGGGTGCTGGCCACACGACCATTCAAATGGGAAAAATTCATTTAATTGTACATCTGGGAAATGTATACTTTCTCCGATGTATATTATAGTTCAATATGAAGTTAAAAGCAAATAAGTAAGAAAATAAGGAGAATGAGACAGAACCTTAAAGAGTATTTAGTCCCACCTCCCCGTGCGTGCCTTAAATGACCCTTTTCTGTGCACTAAAAACATAGCTCAGAGAAGTCGAACCTAAGATTAGGTGGCAAACCCAGGCCAAGGATGGTCCAAGAACCTACACTGTTTTAACCAGACCATGCTCTTGGGTGTAGCAACAGGAGTCAAACCTGAGGCTGGGGGAGGGCTTGCAGCAGCCAGCGCAGCTCGTCAGCTTTGCCTTGGAAGAAGGAAGACTCTGAGGAAAGCCAAAATGCAGGCACCCAAGGGCACCTTTAGGCACCTTGATCTCTGAATTTTCCTCAAGAGACACACCTGGCTCTGAAACGACAGGCCTTAAAAACCCCTTAAATGCAGACACGACAGCATGTTTGACCTTGTGTGGTGGTCTCTCTTCTGTTTTTATTATTTGTCTATCCCCTCGCTGCCGCCTTCTCAAAAGCAGTTTTTAGTTTATTTAGGTAATAAAATGTCATACCTTCCCTTTCAGACAGGAATCAGAAACACAAATGGGACAAAATATGTCCTCATAGGCCAAGATAAATTCTTTCCTTTTCCTCACTGGCTCTTGAATGAAGTTACTGATAAACTCAGCCCTGACCCCTAAATTCATCTGCATCATTCCCACATTGAAAGCCACTCACCTGGTTAATTCTGGAGAACTTCATTCCAAATGATTTCCTTAAAATGATGGTGATGAAGAGAGCACCAAAAAAGAAGTTGAGAAACTACTGGGACAAAACTGTGACTTTATTTCCAAAATAACTCGGGGCGGGGGGGGGAGTGCATGTACCTGCGACTGATACATGTTGATGTATAGCAGAAACCAACACAGTATTGTAAGGCAATTATCCTCCAGTTGAAAATAAACTATAAAAATAAATAATATCTTAAAAAATACGGATGCAAAAAACATAAATAAAATATTAACAAATAGAGAAAAAAAAGATGTAAGAACTTAAGACACGGTGGTCTCTGGGAAAATAAAATGGCTTTCAGCACCCAATTCTTATGAATATTTCATACCAACAAAGAGAGAAGATTATGAGGAATTCTACCTCATGTCTTCTAATATGTTACTCAGGCTGATCCAAGAGAAGAATCAAATACCCTGTAAACTTTTAGCCTGCTGTTACTGTAATTTTCTGTCAGTATATCTTAGATAAAGAGTATACAACCCCACACCTAAGCTCCAATAAAAATTTTTTAGGCTTGATCCCAAGGAACAGCCAAACATCTTTTATTTCCTTTAAAAACCATTTTTTTAAGGAAACTATCACAGAGTATCTACAACTAAATTGTTCTTTTCCTTCTAAAAGGGTTTGCCTCCCAAATATATCTAGTAAGTAAATTCATCTCCCTTCAAGGTGGGAACAAAAAAGAGTGCAAAAATAATGTGCATTCCATTCTTTATCTTAAACTCTCAACAAGAAGCTGGCTAGGAATTTTTCACACACTGTTTTTCAGGACATTCACTGATTTATCCATTTATTCAAATATTTTTTTTTGAAAGCCATCTCTACCTTGAAGCAAAAACCTAAGTCTTCTCCCTTATATATGGTTATAAAAAGATCTCAAAACTTTCCTTTTGACTGCTAAGTAGAACTCTAGAACTCTACTCCACCCAAAATCAAGAAGCAATTTTATTTCCTGACTCTATTAGTCCTTCAATAGAGAACAGATGAAGAATGTTTTCTTTAAAGATACCATCCTTTCCTTCCCACTCAAATACCAGAAGCAAAAATCAGACAGATTCTGTCCCCTGGGAAGAGTGACTTAGAACTTTGTCAAAGGAATAAGATGCATGCTGTCAGACCTGTGTAGCGAGGGCCAGACAAGAGCCTGTGTCACACAGGCTCAAGGCTACCCAGCCCTTCGTCTGCAGGAAATTTTCCCCCCTTCACAACTGGGACCACAAACCACAATAAGAGCAAGAGAACCCCTCCCTGCCTTCCTAGTCCTAACAAGACTGCCTCCTGGGGGCCACCTCTAGAGCGCATCCCCAACAGAGCAGGTGAGTACTCCAGCCTCATGCTCAGAACAGATCTATGATCAGGGGAAACATCCTAAGATAAGTCTGCTCTGGCTACCTGCTGCATTAGTAAGAGTGGTTTCAACACTGCTGCAGAGCAAATCTTAAAAGCTATCTACCTCAGTCGGTCCAGCATACATCATGGGAGACGGGAAGATGGCCACCACCGTGGTCTCAGGATTCAGGACTCCTTCCTCCAGCACTGCAGCGTGCTGCTTCATCCGCCACATCAGAGGGACATCGTCATCCTTTGTCCAGCCACCAAGGGGGTGAAGGAGCAGGACGGGGCGCCGGTAGCCCCTCTCCAGAAGCTGCCTGTGGGTGTCCTGCATCAATAGAGCGTGGCCATTGTGCACTGGGTTGCGTAGTTGAAAGGCAAAGACAGCATCTGAAAGAGAATTTCAGCGTTAAGAACAGCACATTTCTAATGCTGCCTTCCAAAAGATAAGCAATTCTTCTTGAAGCCTGATGCTCAGGATTAAGCAAACCTGCATGCACAGAATCAGAAACTGGGGGAAAGCAGGTACTGCTCTGACCACTTACTTCAAGGCAAGCTGATACAGTAATTATTACTTCACAAATCTTACAAGCCTGAGGCTGTGTCACATAATAGTAATGGACTTATAACAATTACTTCCTGCATTCACGGGCAATCTGAGGATGAAAATCAAGACTGTCTGGCTCGAACCCATCTCAATTCAACAGTCTGCAATGCATATAAATTCTCGGTCTATGCCTTAATAACCCATCAGGTCAATCCCGTCATCAGATCTAAGATAGTCCTTTATTAAAGAAAGACAGAGAAATGTAGGGGGTTAGAAAATTTACTTACAATCTAAATAAGCTCATTTATACCGATTACTCTAATTGACTGGAATGCTATCCAGTTGTTTTGTGATGCCAGGTCTAGATTTTGGATTATAGTTTGTGTGCTAAGTCACTCAGTCATGTCTGACTCTTTGTGACCCTGTGAACTGTAGCCCGCCAGGCTCCTCTGTCCATGGGATTCTCCACCCCCAGGAGTGGGTTGCTATGCCCTCCTCCAGGGGATCTTCCCAACCCAGGGACTGAACCCAGGTCTTCCGCAATGCAGGTAGATTCTTTATCATCTGAGCCATGCAACAACAATATCCCTTACAAGGACCATTGCTATTACTCAAATGTTGAAAAGTGCTGAATAAATTAAAGTGGTTAACTACGTATCTTCTGCTTACAACCCTGGCTTCACTCCTACATGGGGCTCTTGCTATCAGGAGACCTTTCTCAGAAGGCATGGCTCCTTGGGGTCATAGAGTAATTTTACAGAACACAGTAACAACCCAGTAAGAGGAGCTCTGTGTTTGCTGCCCTTATAGTATCTGATAAATCATCATGCAATGTCAACCTAATCGAGACTCAGAGAAGAACATCTTCCCCTTCCCTAACAATTTTAAGCTGAATTGTAGAATATCCCCAGTCTATTCTCAATTCTAACCCTCTTCTATCACAGCAACAAAAGGCACAGAAAGAAAACGATGGCACCTACTTGACCAGGAGATTTTGGGGGACACATTCTGTGACATTCCAAGATTGAGAGCATCATCACTATGCTATGAAGTTCTCAAGTTACCTTTTATAAATGAACAAGGTGGGTTTACACCAAAGAAATAGCAGAACATAAGGTACAAAAAAGAAGTCTTGATACAAATATGTGAGTATCTAAAGTTAATGGGCTTCCCTGGTGGCTCAGATGGTAAAGCATCTGCCTGCAATGCTGGAGACCTGGGTTTGATCCCTGGGTCGGGAAGATCCCCTGGAGAAGGAAATGGCAATCCACTCCAGTACTCTTGCCTGGAGAATCCCATGGACAGAGGGGCATGGTAGGCTACTGTCCATGGGATCGCAAAGAGTCAGACACGACTAGACAACTCTACTTACCTACTTATCTAAAATTATCCTGCTTTAAGGAAACAGGAGGAGAGGTGATATCACAGTTTTTCTGTCCTTCTGAAAACACTCCAAATTATAGATATCAAAAGATTTCAAAACATCCCATTGCCATTATATTGAACTCCCCTTGTCCAAGACCAAGAATGAATCTTACTTCCTAATTATCATACTCCAGTCTTTCCAAAAAACAATGAAGAATGTCTCCTGAACGCACGCGCTATCACTGTTCCATTTAACCTGTACTCTGATTCTGGCCTCGATCTCATCAGTAGATTTAGTTCTCTCCCCTCTCTCCCCTTCCCTTTACCCATTCTCTGTAAACAGCCTTGAAGAATAACAGAGACACTTACTAAGCACTCAGGAATCCTACTCCTGGGCTGATATGTTACTGCACTGATGGGGAGGCTGGGGGCAAGTAGCTGTGGCTTGGACCATGGGGAGGAAAGAGACCAAGAGCAGTGTGGGTCAGCACAAGCCTGCAGCATCCGGGCCAAGGAGATGCTTGCCTGAGTGGGGTCGAGGGGCCAGGGCTGAGGAGCCGGCTCGTCTGACCGGGAGACTGCATATACACATGGAAGGACAGCGAGTAAGTAAATTCATTGATGATAATGGACGCCAGGACTCTGACTGCAGGAGCGGAAAGGCAAAAATACCCAAAAGAAGAAAGGCTAGGAAAGACCACATGGTATTGGATTAGGGTTGAAAATATCAGGATGACCTGCCTCATGGTTTTCAGCTGTATGGATAGACGTATTCAGGGATAGATATGAATTTGTGTGAGTACACATGATTCTGACCACTGAAAGGTCCTACAAGCAGTGACTACCCAGTGGCAAAGAGCAAAAACTAAAGCCCAAATTTTGTAACCTAAATACTACCCCCTATTTAAATAAACCAGGGTTCCTTGGCCAACAACCAATTCTGGGGCAGGCATGGAAAGTATAACATGAGACGGATCGTCTTTTGTACCATAAAGAAGAAGTGCTCAGAGAGGATGAGGACACGTCAAAGGATACAGCAAGCAGGACATGTCAAGGGACACAGCCCCAGAAGCCAACGGAGGACAAGCTAAACAGCAAAGTAAATCATAACTAATGGTTTGAAAACCACTGAGTAAGAGAGCAGCCTATGAGCCCAGACAGAATAAAATAAATGAAAAACCAGTGAAGAAGTGGAAACTCTAACTCACAGTATAGAAAGTCAACTAATAAAAGTAACCAGAATGACAGAATCAGAAAAATCACCGTATTTGCAGCGTGCTAAAACTAACAGATAAAAATTTGATAACAATGGGATATTCACTGAGTCTCAAAATCTCTCCCCCAAAATACTTGTTAGTATGTACAAAATAACTTGTTAACTTTACAGTGGGAAAAACCTGGTAAAGATGACCTTTAATGCAAAAAGTTAACTTTTAAAAAAGTTGAACTCATCTGTAAGAGGACAAATCAAAATTGTGAGCCACAAAATACGATGTGCCAATGATTCGGCCTTGCTTCCTATGGGATTCCTGAGAAAAGGTGTAACCAGAACCTAATCATGAGGAAACAGCAGATAAACCAAAACTGAGAGACAGTCGAGAAAGTAAACAGCAGGTACTCTTCAGAGATGCCGAGTCTGTGAAAGACACGACAGAGTAAGTGACTGCTCTGAATGAGGCAGACTAAAGACACGACTGGCATCCTGAAGCGGGAATGAAAGGTGGCAAAGAGAAGATTTCCGCTGTCATTGTCGGTTCTCTGATAAAGAATTAACCAGAACGATGGCGTGATGTGAGGGCAGGACACAGATTACACTGTCTCATATCAGTGTATTTTTCTGTGTTTGATGAGCACAGAGGTTAGGCAGGAGACTGTCCTTACTTTCAGGAAATACATGTGGAAATAACTAAGGAGTAATGGGGCATTGTGTCTGCAACTTTCAAAGAAAGTGAGAATGAAAAGGCAAATAAACATAATGTCAATTATGGGATCTGGGTACAATATATAGGAGCTCTTGGTACTATTATAATTTTTCTGTAGATTTTAAAAATTATTTCAAAACACAAGGTTAAAAAAAACAAGTAAAAAATTATGATGGGAAACATATGAACTGATTACAATGTGTGAATTTTACTTAGATCCTAATTCAAACTATAAAAACAAGAAATGTGACTACTATGAAATTATCAGAAATATGATCACTGACTAGATATTTGATAGTATTGTGTGTGTGCTCATTCACCCAGTTGTGTCCGACTCTGTGTGACCCCACAGGCTTTAGCCCACCAGGCTCCTCTGTCCATGGGATTTTCCAGGCAAGAATACTGGAGCGGGTTGCCATGCCCTCCTCCAGGAGATCTAACTGACCCAGGAATCAAACCTGAGTCTCCTGCACCTCCTGCATTGCAGGCAGATTCTTTACTGCTGAGCCGCTGGGGAAGTCTATTTGATAGTATTAATAAACTATTATTATTTAGGTGCAATAGTGATATCATGGCTATATTTTTAAAGTCCTAACTCTTAAATACTTTCTGAAATATTTAGATGGAAATGACATGAGGTCCGAGATGTGCTTCAGAATAACATGCAGGAATACAGTGGGGTAGGCAGCAGCACAAGTGAAACAAGATTAGTAAGAGTTGGTAGAAGTGAATTTGGCTTGGAGGTAAATGGGGACTCATTCATACTGTTACAAAAGTAAAGCAAAGTGTTACTTTAAAGTGTTAAAGTGTTTACTTTTTTTTCAGTTTTTTCTTTATTTTTTTTTTTCATTTATTTTTATTAGTTGGAGGCTAATTACTTTACAATATTGTAGTGGTTTTTGCCATACATTGACATGAATCAACCATGGATTTACATGTGTTCCCCATCCTGATCCCCCCTCCCCTCTCCCTTTCCACCCCATCCCTCTGGGTCTTCCCAGCCACCAGCCCTGAACACTTGTCTAATCAAAGTGTTAAAAAAAAAGTGTTTACTTTAAAGTAAAGTGTTGCTTTAAAGCGTTACTTCAGATTCTTACCATCTGAGCCACCAAGGAAGCCTAATGTATCTACTTACAAATATAAGTAGCATATATTTGAAAATTTTTAGGAGTAAAGATACACACAGAAGAAGCATTGTTTTGGAACAGGATATTTAGTTTCAAATCACAAGTCTACTAGTTTTTAACCATGGACTGTGGTCTTTAAGGTCTTAATTTCACTTCTGACATCTTCCTAGTGGGGTGATACTAAAGTTACTGTTATGAAGATAATATACAGTACCCAGCACGGTGAGATGCACACTGCAGTCACTTAATAAATCTAAGTTCCTTAAGACAATTCATTCTTTAAAAAGCAAACAGAAAAGCACCACATCTAAAAGTTCCTGGCAGGAAAACTGAACCCACTGTTCCACTGGTGGCTCCAGGTCTACTCCAGGACGAACACTTCAGTGAGTGTTAAAGACGAAGGTGCATTAGCTCTGCGCTGGGACACGC